TGTATTTCAATGTAAAATAGGATAAAATACATGACGAAAACAAGAGACTTTACCTAACCTTCCGATGTTCAAGATATGTTACTCGTTTTTTTAGTAGTTTTCGGTTAAAATACTCTTATATTAGTGATATTCTATTCATACTGTGCTTGATATAATACATTCATGGAAATGTTATATTTTTGCAACTACAATGCTGATGTCAACACAAGCATGGTTACAGCGAGATTGACTGAGTGAGGGAGAGCTATGCGTGTGTGTGTGAGGTTGCGGGAGCGGGCGGTGTCCCGTGTTCGGTGCCGCGTGCGAGTTGAATGGGGCGCGATTTGAATGTACTTCAATTACTTCAATGTACAGAATATTCCTCCAGCGGGGCAATCCGCGTATTTGCAAATCCGTGAATGCTAAACCCGTGTATGTGAAGAGCCGACTGTATATATATACAGTGGTCCCTCGGTAAAGAGCACAATCCGTACCAGAAGGTTGCTCGTTAACCGAAAAACTCGTTAACTGAAACCATTGTTTCAATGGGTTTTTGGGTAATTGGTTCCAGCTCACCGAAAATTGCCTAAATTCAACAAAAAAGGTAGAAAAGTACACTTACTTTGAGGTGTGTGTGTAGAAGGCTCCTGCATGATGATGCTGATGTGAATTTGAAGTGGGAGGTGCAGGAGGAGAAGGAAGTGGAGGTGGAGGAGAAGCATTTTACTGCTTCTTGGAAGGTGAGTCACCTTCCATGAAAATGTCAGGAACCTCTGGACTGACAGATTCTCCACCATGAACATCCTCTCTCCTTTTTGAAGTGGAAGGCTGAGGGCTAGCATCTTGTTCCCTCTGCCTTTTACTGAAGAAAGTGTCAATTGTGGTCTGTGGGGCATCTCTCCTCCTCATCATCATTAACTCATGTTTAAAGAAGGAGACCATTGTGTCCTCAACATGACACAAAGTTAGTTCAGATTTTTCCACATCTGGGTGCCTTGAAGCCAGTTTCCTGAACTTCTCCCAGTAGTAAATAGCATCTTTCAACTCTGAAGTTGACATATGGTCATCACTTTCCGTTTCCTCCTCACCACTGTCAGCCTCTAACATCTCATCCAGTTGCTGCAAGTCTTCAGGAGTAAGTTCCTCCTCATGAGACATCACAAGCTCTTCGACATCATCCTCCTCCACTTCAAGGCCCAATGACTGACCAATGGACACAATCTCCTGGTCCAACTCTGTTTCTTCCTCAAATCCCTCAAAATCATGGACTACTGATGGCCACAGTGCTTTCCATGAAGAATTGAGGGATCTAGTGGAGACTTCTTGCCATGATGACACAATCAATTTTACAGCCTCCAGGATGTTGAATTGTGTTTATCAGAACTGTTTCAGTGTTAGTTCAGGATGAGTGGAAGTTGCCTGATGACACCTCCTAAACATTTTCTTCATGTACAACTTCTTGAAGTTGCTGATCACATTCTGGTCCATTGGCTGTATGATTGATGTAGTGTTGGGAGGCAAATACAACACTTTCACAGTCAAATTGAGACTCCAAAGTTCTGGCAAGTTCAGGGTCATGACCAGGGGCATTATCCATGAGGAGAAGAGCCTTTAAAGGGAGTTTATTGGTGGTTAGGTAGCTCTTGACAGAAGGGCAAAACACCTCAACAGCCCATTCATTAAAGAGCTGTCTTGTCACTCATGCCTTACGGTTGGACTTCCAATAAACTCCAAGCTTTGCTCTTACCACTTTCTGTTGCTTGAACACCCTGGGGTTTTCAGAGTGGTAGACGAGCATAGGCCTAAGTCGGAAATCCCCTGAAGCATTAGCACCAAGCAATGGAGTGAGACGGTCTTTCATGGGTTTATGACCAGGTAAAGAGGCTTCATCTCTGGTGATGAATATTCTTTTGGACATCTTTTTCCAGAACAGCCCAGTTTCGTCCACATTGAACACTTGCTGTGGAAGATAGTTTTCTTCTTTCATCAGTTCTTTAAATTCCACTAAAAACTTCACTGCCCCTTCCTTATCAGCACTAGCAGCCACACCATGCCTAAACACTGAAAATGTCACTTCTTTTCTTAAATTTTTCGAACCAGCCTTTGCTGGCCCGAAAATCTTCAAATTTTGTGCCTGAAGAACCAGGTTGATCTGTCTTTAAATGTTCGTAAATCTCCCTGGCTTTCACAAATGAATTCAGTAGAAACTGAATCAACTTTCATCTGTTTTTCCCTAATCCAGATGAGAAGTAACCTCTCAGTTTCTGCAATTAGGGATCTACTTTTAAACACTCTGGTAGATTTGTCTCTCACTTTCACTTCTTTAAATTTGTCTTTCTGTGCAAGAATTGTCAACACAGTTGATGTCGACATTCCATATTCTTTGCATAGCGCATTTGTTCTAATGCCTTCTTCATGTTTTTTTATAATTTCCTGCTTGGTTTGGATTGAAATCGCTTTTCTTGATCTCTTACGCCCCATGCTCGATTCAAGCAATGTCAACACGTGATTTTTTAAGTTTAAACTAGCTGTAAATAAAGAATATTTTCTTTAAAATAACACTGCACTGCACTATATATATTGTCAATATGTAAAATAAATTTCAAAATGACCAATAATTTGCTTGGAAACACAGAAAAAAAGCGTTTAGTTGACGAGAGTCTCAAGCAAGATGTTACCTCCACTGAAAACAGAGAGAGACTAATGCTTGTTTGGTGTGTTAAAAGGCTGGATGGCGCACCACAAACTAGTGACCTTACCTTCAATTATGTTCAATAATTGTTAAAATGACTAGAAAATTTAATATTAAACTTTTAAAATTATTGAATAGTATAAACTTCTTGATATTTACTAAAATAGTAAGGAATTTAAGCCCTAGAACCGATTACTGTATTGGCGGACTAATACTACAGCTGGTTGACTGCCAAGTGCAAGCGAAAACTTGTTGAGGTCGGCTCGTAAAAAACTCGTTAATCGAGGGATTGCTCGTTAACCGAAGTTAAGAATCTTATGGGAGGTAACTTGTGAACCGAGGCGCTCGTTAACCGAGGGATCAGTGTATTTATCAAGATTTATCTTATCCACGTTTTCATTGTGGATTTACATGAATGAAATATATATATATATAAAGGCCATTGAGAGTTTCCTTCCTCACCTCCATCCTTAGTGCGAGATCTCCTACATGTACGTATGGATGTGAGCCTAACAAAGAGAAAATAGACAAACACAAAGAGAAATTAGACAACTCTTCAGGTGAAACAAAAACTACACAATGCTGAAATAGTTATATAAACAATTACAGTATCATCTACAGTAATACCTCGGTTTACGCGGGTTTCGTTTACGCGTTTTATCATTTACGCGGTACCCTGCCAGAACCAGAATGCCCAATTTAAGCGGTGCATCTACTCATATACACAGAGAGCGGCTACTAACGTAAGTGTTAAACCTAACCTTGATTTTTTCTAACCTAACCTAACATAAGTGTTAAACCTTGATTTTTTCTAACCTAACCTGACGTAAGTGTTAAACCTTGATTTTTCTTTTACCTGGTACAGTATATTATTCTCTTATTGATATTTCTCTTCTATATTATGTGTGTGTGCATACCATCATAAAGTTAAGACTATTTCAATTAATCCCATATGTTCTGTTATTCCATTTACGCGTTTCTCGTTTTATGCGCTACTCCGCGGGTTCAATTGACAACGTAAATCGGGGTATTACTGTACAGTCAACCCTCACTTTACGCGGTCAATTGAACCCACGGAGGCCCGCGTAAAGCGAGAAACGCGTAAAGTGAACAACATAACATATGGGATTAAATGAAATAGAAACCGGCTGACCCCCAAACTCCACTTTTTCCGACACAATACCTATGTTCTAGTAAAAATAACATCTTAATTTTATGATGGTACATGCACACAATTAATACCTAAGAGAAATAGAGAAATACAGTCGCCAAGTTAATGTCCATTCAAATAATGGACTCAACTCCCTCCCCCTCTTCTCACACTCCTGGCTCTTCCCTCTCCGAGAAATGTTTGGGGGAAAACCACTAGATTTTAAGGTATAGTAATAAATAATACCTCAAGCTAAAGTTAGGATAATATAATTGACATTGCTGGATTCCTTGTAAGACCAGGAATATTTTGAATATAAATGTCATATATTTTGCACAAAAGATAACATATTTACTCAGAGTAAACAAAATACTTAAAGTAGATCTAAAATTTGTATGTCTAATGCAATATCTATGATGTTTATATTCAAAATGATCATCAAATTGTAAGAATTCCAGCAATGTAAATTATATTCTGGCCTGGTAATTTGTATGAATTTTATGAGCTAAAACAAATATCTTCAATAAATAAACAATATATAATTACCAAAATACTATCTGTCAATCAAAATACCCCACCTCCCCCCCTCTTCCCACCTGCTCCCTGGGTCCCTCCCTCCCTCCCTCCCTACCCCTCACCCCCACCTTCCCTCCCTACCAGAGAAATGATTGGGTTATAACAGTATGTTTACATTTTTAGTAATAAATAATACCTCAGACTAAAGTTAGGATAATATAATTGACATTGCTGGATTCCTTGCAAGACCAGGAATATTTTGAATATACACGTCATATATTTTGCACAAAAGATAACATATTTGCTCTGAGTAAACAAAATACTTGCATTAGATCTAAAATTTGTATGTCTAATGCAAAATCTATGATGCTTATATTCAAAATGATCATCAAATTGTAAGAATTCCAGCAATGTAAATTATATTCTGGACGGATAATTTGTATGAATTTTATGAGCTAAATAAAAAAATTATACTTCATCCGCGTATACGAGTAGGTGCACCGCGTAAAGTGGGAATTCCGGTTCTGGCAGGGTACCGCGTAAATGTAGAAACGCGTAAAATGAAACCGAGTAAAGCGAGGGTTCACTGTACTGTGTTAAATATCCCCACATGCATGCATATAACAGGAGCTGCCTGGTTTGGATATCATATTGACAACTTACTTCAGATTTTCATATATGCTTGAATGAATTGGCAAATCAAATTCATCTTTTCCTCGCTGGGGTGTGTACACCCAGGTTCCCCCCGATTGTAATGATTTTTCCCATACAACTGGTGACATGCCACGAGTGGCCAGGATGTGACGAGCTGCACACAAACCTGCTGCACCGGCTCCTATCACCCCCACCAGTTTCATTGTCCTGCAAAGAAAATAAATATATCTAAATACAATAGCAGACATATCTTCTGGCAGGGAAGGGGGAGGGGGGGGGTCAAGCTATATCTATCTTGGCAAGACCATATGTATACAGGTACTTCAATCAATATTTTTTTTTTATTTACCATTTCCACCACTTATCAGCTTGCTAGCTTTATATATATATATATATATATATATATATATATATATATATATATATATATATATATATATATATATATATATATATATATATATATATATATATATATATATATATATATTTCATTAGCCCAATAAAGCACGCGGACTCACTGTAGGTGTGCGTGATCTAGGTATATGCTGATAACCACAAGGAAAGAAGAAAACACGAGAAATCACTTCTCGACTAGTATTTGGTGTCACAAAGTAAAAAAAGAATTGGAAAACTTACTTTAATCTGAGTTAATAGATCGCGTGCATGTACCGAGGGAGCAAGTAATTACCCAAATGTAGTCGCAATGAAGTCAAATGATGGTTCTACAAGCATAAATCGGGCTGTGAATCACTTTTCGATTATTATTTGGTGTCATAAAGTCACAAAAAATTGGTAAACTTAATTTAATCTGAGTTGTGTTAGGTTAGGTTAGGTACATGCACTCGATCTATTAACTCAGATTAAATTAAGTTTACCAATTTTTTGTTACTTCGTGACACCAAATGCTAGTCGAGAAGTGATTGGCAGTCCGATTTATTCATGTAGGACCATTATTTGACTTAATTGCGGCTACATTTGGGTAATTAGTCGGACCCGCCATGCACAGGCCAACCGGCCTATTGCAGACTCCTTATTTTCTTATGTTCATACCCACAAATGTTAAGTAACGTTTATTTTAAAAATATCAATTTGTTAACACATTTTCACAAACTACAACAGTGTCCACTATAAAATAACAGTGATAATCAGGCGTTTATATAATAGTTTTCAATCAATTTCGGCCGCGGGTTAGTCCTATATAATTACCAAAACTGGCTATAGATTCCAACTTTATTACCATAATACACAGTTGAAAAGGCTATTGTGTAATGGCAAAAACCATTAACAGTTGTAAATAACAGGGATTACTTATTACTTACCTGTGGAAGTGCTACTATCAATCCAATCCCTAAAAAGAGTCACCATGAGCTGCACTACACTGGCAGTAGGATATGCTGTACTGGCAGAATGGCAGTAATTCCTACTCAAATCTTAAGAAGTGGGTCCCTAAGTTGTTGTCGCAATACTATACCCTCTCACTCTTAATTATGCAATGAAACAGATTAATATGAAGTGAATGTATAAACAATATATCTTCAGGTATGATTATTGCTATTACTTTCGTCATTCCCCCACTCTATCAACGATAGCGTTATCAAGTCACTATCGATCTCAAATTATCATTGATAAGGCTATAATTATATACAGCGCATCTATGTCACGCTAAAAAGTGTTAGAAAAACTTTCACAAGATCTCAAATTAAATATCACAGCAAAATAATGCAGGACCCGTTTGGACCGACCTCTGGCTAATGTTGTCCCAAACCCACTATCAAACCCCCACACCGAAAAATAAAACTTTATATTCAGAATGCAATGCAATTGATAATATTTGCATTGTTTATGATAGGCCTATTATTTTCTACTCATAAAAAATAACAAGTGTTTTGATTATCCCCACGACCATTAGAGGTTCGGGGCTTGTGGTATGGGGGATTCGGTAGTTGATTTCAGATTACGTGACACTTAGGGCCGTATTCCTAGTCATTACGACGATAATGACGATCACGATCATCATCACGATGATCGTGTGTCGGGATGCAACCACCCAACGCTGAGTGCCATATTCCTAGACACTTACATGAGCGTGTAAACACGGCAGCTCGTGTCGGATGGCAAAATTTTTTTTGGCCATGCGCGAATGCCAAATGTATTATTTCACATAATTAGAAAGACGATTTTGAGAGATATTTAGTTGTTATTTTATACCGGCACAATAATATATTGTAAATATATATTTTTTTATAAAATTGAACTTTATTATCTGTTCGAAACAAAATAGATAATTTTTTCATCTGAGTACTTGGCAACAATGTTTGCGCGCGGGTTATCAAACATGGAGGTAGTAAGAGAACGTTCTGCAGCTCTGTCTGAAACCCAACGTATGGCACTTTTGCGCCATATTGAGCAAAGGCCAATCATTGAGGATAGGTCTACAAGCAACACCATAAATTATAGGAAAAGAAAGGCCTGGGATGAAATTACTGCTTCATTCAACGCCAGCTATGATCCACTTGTTTTACCTGGTCCTATCCCAGGGCCATCATCTGTGTCTTCTGCACAATTTACTGAAGTTCCATCTACTGTTTATCGACCTCTATTTTCACCCTCTGTTCCTGTCTCACAAGTCATTGTTCCTGCCTCACCAGTCATTGCTCCTGCCTCACCAAACATTGCTCCTGCCTCACCAAACATTGCTCCTGCCTCACCAAACATTGCTCCTGCCTCGGCAGTCAATGCCCCTGACTCACTATCGAGTGATATTGCCTCACCCCCTCCTGCTCATGCTTCCAACCAACACCTTTATTCAGTGTCCAGGGCATCTGGTTCTCGGCCAAGGAGCAAACCAAGGCGAACTAGGAGGGTGACAAGTGTCTATGAAATGTGTGATAAAAGACAAGAAGAGTTACATAAATCTAAGTTGTACAGATTGAATAGGGAGCATGAGGAGGAAATGAAACTGAAAAAAGAAATGATGTTAACACAAAAACTACAACAAACTGCAATTGAAAAGACACATGAAAAATTGAATAATTCTTTGGATTTGTTAGATAGTGTTTTAAGGAAAGCAGGAGCTGCATATGATGCCATGGCTAAAACATATGAATGAGGTTGTAATATTTCAGAAATTGGCATCTAAAGTAAAAGTTATTCGTTCTATTTCTTACATATTCAACTAATTTTATTTGAAGGAAATAAACATACATGTGTTTATTTTGACAAAGGTTTTTTTGTTTACAAAAGCTGTCATAAGTATGGCAGGTAATTATTTGTGGGGGATGAATATTTATAATATACATAAAGGCTGTGATTTTCAAAAATTGAATTTATTTCCTGTGATAAAGAATAAAGTTTTGTTTGGTGTATACAGGTATTTATAAAATATGTTATACTGTGCAAAGTACTGTACAGAGGATATGTTTCTTTTATTAAATTTTATGCATTGATATAAATAGCTGTAGAGAAGGAGTGAACCATTTCTTTTTGTGCCCAAGATAGAAATATTTTCATGTCAGTTACAAATATTGTCCAAAGTATGGCAGTTAAGATTTATTTTTATATATCTATAATATAAGCTGTGAATTTCAGGAAATGCAGAACTATGTATAGAAAAATTATAGTTTATTTTCTTAATTTTTACACATTTATTAAAAAAATAAATGTATATTTCTTTCCTTTTGTTGTCTTCATAAAACCTCACAGGTGAATTACCTTACATATTGAGTTATGCTCCAGTATTAAAGACCACAGTGAAGTAAAAAAAACTTTATTACTGGGCCAAAAACTGTGATATTTTCCTTGTTAACTCAAGATAGAGTGAGCTCACTTGGCTTGCCTCATTCCGGAAAACATAAGTGAATTTCCCGGTTCAGATGGTTGAAATTTTATTACTACTACGACAAAAATATTGTATGACTGAATAAAGATAAGAAACATATCTTAAATGATAACAGAAGTAATTGTTAATTGAAGATGAGGCTCACAGCACAGACAGCAGTTGTCATCGAAGTCGGAGCTGTGACGTCAACATTCCAATAATGTTTCAAGTTCATAACAGTGTTGTGAAAGTTCATTTATCCGTATTAACACTTCTTTTAATTGTTCTTATCAAAAAAAATAATATAATTCGACGTAGACATCTGTAATATAAAGTACTGGAAGAACTTTCATAAAATATAATGATGATTATTATTTGTCGTAAGGCAGCTATCGTGTGGGGGTAGCCACCCGATGTTGTTTCCAACATTTCAGGGATATGCGTATGGTTCCCTTCCGATACCTCGTTTATCGGGATGACTATTAATAGACCAGCACGAACACTATCAATTGGCATTGTGCTTCGTAATGACTATCAATCCGGCCCTTAGTTTACATCATAGTATTCACCTGACCCCCCCAACAACCCCTCTTATGTTACTGATCGTAATGGTTTACAGTACATTATATTATATAAAACTCTGTAATCAAGCAGCATAGCCTGATCTGACCTATATTTGTCAATGCCACACTTCTATACTATCTAAATTCAAACTCATTTAATTCATCAGTTTCTTTTCTGACTTACTTCCATCTCTTAATTGTTTTTTGTTTTTATCCTCTTCACCTAAAGCTCGGCTCGTTGGCCGCTTGGGCGATCGGTCACGTCTCTGTTAGCAAGTACTGAGCATGCACATGCTCCTGAATGTACCTGAACCTGTTCCAGTGTTGTGTACTGCGCACATCATTGTCATCCCTACAAAACTCTTTAATTCATATTACGCTACATAACATTCAAATCCACCGCGCTTGTAGAATATCAGAAAACGGGAAACATTGATAAAGAATAACTCACCTACTGAATTATTTGATGAATTGTACCCGGGTACAGGTATATAATATTAAGTGTATGTACTCATAGCATTAAGGAGAACTCAAGGTATCTATAAGATGGTTGGCAGAGTCCAACCAGTACGGATTAGTGTACTATAAGGGCTGAATGTAGATCGTGTTTGGAGGTCATTCTATGGACGTCTGTGAACAATTAGTGAACAGGCAGCGGCGGAGGAGGTGGTGTTGCTTGCTGCGGCTGTAGCTAGAAGAAGAGAGTGGTCACCACGAGGTCAGGTCTTATATAGCGGAGGTAGGCGTGGCTTAATAGTTGACCTCCATCATGTAAGGCGGCGTTGGTTGACCTAGACCACGAGGCATACACTGGGGAATTTGCGGGGTCGGTTACTCAGCGGACAAAAGCGTTTGTAGGGGAGGGATCCACTACAATACTCCCTCCTTCCCTCCAGGCGGTGTAGGAGACTTGTTGTCTGCAGGGTTGCATGGCACATGTGAGGCAGAACGGGCGGTGCATGCCACATGTTAGCCATAACGGCGATGGCGTGGATGAGCCGGCCGCTAGAGGAGACAACTGCCTAGATACACAATATCTGTGGGAGTAGAGAGGGAGAAAAAGGGTGTGTGGAGGCGATGAATGTTGTGCTTCCCTCTCGGCAGGTACAGAGTCGTCAGATGAGCCTGCTGGGGTGTGTGGGCCTGGGTCAGGAGCAGGGGCTGCGTCAGCAGGAGCGGAGGAGAGTCCGTGACAGCAGCAGGGTGCATGACAGCAGCAGGGTCCACGACAGCAGCAGGGTGCAGGACAGTAGCAGGGAGTACCTGAGGGAGAAAAGAGGGATGTGTGGGTCAACACTCAGGCGCATGGGCCGCGTCGGGAGCAGGGGCTGCATCAGGAGGAGCGGCAGGGGGTACTGCTGGGCCGGGGGCGGCGTCTGAGGCAGAACGGGTGTGTTGTGGTTGGTAGGACGTGGTGCTTGGGGCAGGAAGAGGAGCGGCTGTCTGCTTAGAGAAGCAGAGCTGCTCTAGGGTGTCTAACCTGCGGTGTAGAGACAGTAGCTGTAGAGCCGATGAGAGCTGCCTCTGCGTGGGTAAGCCAGTCTTCCATGTTGCTTGAAGACTGGGAGAGTAATCGGTTTCTCCTCCTTCCTGTGTGAGTGCGAATCTCCGGGGGTCACCATTTGTGGGGTATGTCGTGGCAGGTTGTCAGAGTCTCTTATTTGGCCTCACAATGTACGTACATGAAATATATCCAACACTCAGGATTGAGGTAGAAATAGAAAATCACAGTGTTTCTCGTATGTATATTGTTGCACAGCACAGTGTTAAAGAGATACTAAGTCGGGCGAAGCTTGCTCAGAGTTCCTGTAGGGCGAGGAGCTTTCTGAGGGAGCGTGTGTATGGAGCTGTTGAGGGATGTTGCTTGTTGGTGGCGGTAAGTAGAAAGAGCTGGTTGGTGAGGGTGCTCAGAGGAGGACAAGCTTGTGGGTCGCCATGCTCGATGGAGGGAGCGAAGGCCGCCAGGCAGCGGCGGAGGAGGTGGTGTTGCTTGCTACGGCTGTAGCTAGAAGAGAGTGGTCACCACGAGGTCAGGTCTTATATAGCGGAGGTAGGCGTGGCTTAATAGTTGACCTCCGTCATGTAAGGCGGCGCTGGTTGACCTAGACCACGAGGCATACACTGGGGAATTTGCGGGGTCGGCTACTCAGCGACAAAAGCGTTTGTAGGGGAGGGATCCACTACAATATCTTGGATGCATCGGTGTGAACTTAATACACCTTGTTATCTCGTGTGACATATGCCCAAGCTAGAACGCCTACCGCATTGATATTATAACCCAATGAATTTACCCAGGAACTAGCAAACCAGAACCTTACCTTAGTGTGTAATTTAGGATTAAGATA